TTAAACGAGTGGTGCCTTTTGTCCACTGGCAGGGTCACCTGAGACCCTTCTAGGCGCCGCCTCCTACCCTACATAGGTTTCTAGGAGTCTGTGTCAGTGTGCACCAAGTACACCTAAGCTGTCCCGGTTTGGGCGCCTACCCTAGATAGGTTTTTAGGAGTTTGTGTTGGTTCCATTATGGGCACACGTGCACAGAGAAGTACATTTTTGGCCGGATAGATGCATCTAGCCACGTGCTGAGAAAGCACACATTAGGTACCCCTTTTGTATTAGATCTCTCACCCTGCCGATGGTAGCGCGAATGCATGGCCATATTTCACTTACTTAGTTGATCTATTACTTCCATTGACGGGCTCGTGTACTGACTTAATGGTCAATGGTGGAAGCCTCAGCCGTCAAAACGTCATCAGGTAACAGTAACCTATATTGCAGGCCTAGACTCACTCGGTATGGTGCCATGACCTGCACACACACAAAAACAAAGATATCTAACAGCACACTAACGTAGCTTGTCAGCCCTTGCATCAAAGTTTGATGGATGCGATATTTAGAAGCCATCATCACGCCTTGTCCATAGAGCTAAATGGGTATGGTGGGTGAGGAATTGGGTTCACCAATTACGACGCAGGTCCATCGAAAGGCCATGCTGCCTCTTTCTTGGTCGGCGAGAGGAAGCCCCACATGCGCTCAACGTGTTGCTGTTGAAGTCTGTGGAGGGTCTGACAACAAAAAAACAACACGTGTCCAATGAAACGTATGAACACTTGATGGGACATGCATAGAAGGACTAAAAAACACCTGCTCTTCCCAGGTAGGATAGTTACTGCGTTAGGAGAAATTTACCCCACATGTCTTCTTCCCTTATATACAAATTGACTACCAGCCGCTCATTTACACGCACGCAAGCTACTATCAGCTAGTGCATTTCTTTGCACGCAAAAAAAATACTACCAGCTACTTCTCTGTGTGCAGGAAGCTCACAGCTGGCGGCAGGAATTTACAGCGCATCTAATGCCTTGAATGAGGCAGATGAAACGCAAAACAGGAACACAGCATGCAGGTCGCTCTGAGGGACAATACAAGGTACGGTTAGGTACCTCATAACTCCTCCCTTTGTCCACACCTATGGACATGCTAAATAATAAGATCTGGCATCAATTAAACATAGGCGGTGGTGAGACTGGTAAAGCACAACCCCTACTCCATCATCCTGGTTTCTACAATCTCAGCGGCGAAACTTTCCCGTTCTCTCTTTTGTTCCCATTCACCAATCAGAGCACAGTCAAGAGGTACAACCCTCCTGGGGAGCAAACCACACAGACTTATATTGATGATGATGTTCTTACCCCCATCCATGCTCCTACTAGATGAGTGGGAACCTACTTTGTGAGATATATAACATACGATGGTGCATACATAGGCCACATACCTTCTACATCTAAAACAAAAGCAAATATAGCTACGAGTCCATGGTCGTAGATATATTTGTTCCAAATAAAATTGCATCAGACCAGCACATGCTAAGCTCGAGAAGAGGACCAAATAACATAAAACCGTGTGAAAAGTAACATTAATAGTTTGACATTTGTGTTTTTTGCATTCTATCCACGCGACCACATCCCGCACATGGACCACGAGAGTGTCTTTGTTTTCGCACCTACACGAGGAACCTATTGCAAGGAGAGATCTGGAAGGTGAAGTACCTACCACCGAGCTATGCACGCTGCGCATCGCTAGTGCAGTCCCTAGACACGAACGCGGCATATAAACAGAGAAGCTCTGCACAGTGTAGTATTGCCGACTTACATGAACCCACAGTGTAGGTGAACTACATGCACGACAAGGATGGGCTAGCCGATTAGATGTTGTTATCGCTAACAAAGAGCTACCTTCAATGAGATGCACTTCAGAACGCATACCGTGTGTGGTAGGTGCACCTCAAATTGTCTCACACACGCATATAGTTACTGCGCACGCACGTGTACAGAGAACTACTATTTTGGCCGGGTACATGCATCCACCCACACCATGACAAAACACACGTTAGGTACCCCTTATGTATTAGACCTTGCACCCACCGATGGTGGCGCAGATGCACGGCCATACCGCACTTACTTAGCTGCTCTATTACTTCCACCGGTCGAGATCGTGTATTAATCTAACGGCCAATGGTGGAAGGCTCGCCACAAAAACGCACAAAGCAGCTGACTAACGAGAACCTATCTCATGAGCACACACTCATCATCCAAGGTGTCATGACCTGCACACACACAAAACAAACATATCTAACAATACATTCATGTAGCTTGTAAACCCTTGCACAGCTTGGATGGATGGGACATTTAGAAGCCATCATAACGGACTGTCCATAGAGGTAAATGGTTAGAGTGGTTCAGGGACCTGTGCTAACCAATTACAACCCAGTTCCATCGATAGGCCATGCTGCCTCCTTTACGGTCGGTGAGAGGAAGGCCATATCACGGCGAGATGTGTCATTGAGAGGGTCCGAGGATAGGGACCATTCCACAAACTTTGTCTTAACAAACCCACATGATAAATGTGTTTTCTTCCCTTACAAATTTACCATCATTACTCCTTTACACGCAGAAAACCACTATCGATATTGTATTCCTTTGCATGCAAAAAATAAATATCAGCTACTCACCCGCATGCGTGGAAATTCTTGTCGTGGCGAAATTTACAACAAGATCTAATGCCTTGCATGAGGCACCAAACAAGGAATGAAAACACTGCATGCAGGAGGTCAGAGAAATGGCCAAAATACGGTTAGGTAGGGCATAACTCCCTTGTATGACCACATTTATGGCGGAGTAAATAATACGATCCGGCATCAACTAAACATACGCAATGGTGAGAACGGTAAAGCGCAGCCATCGTAGGCACTAAACATCTCACTTTGATGCTTGGCATTTTTTGGCGAGGCCACATTAAATGAAGTACGGTGCCTCCGATAGTGCGCGGTATGTAAATGGACGGTGGCGTGGCGTAACGATGGATTGTCGACATGCATGGCGGTGCCTAACGCTGCATGCATGCATGCTGCTTTGGGCCGCCCTCGCTTTGCATGCATGCATCACTTGTCGATTTGTGTGCACCTGGCCCCATCCCGTCCTCATTTCCGTTCTCATCCCATCCCCATTCCCATCTCCATTTCTCAGCCGCCGCTGCTGGGGTAGAGAGCGCGAGAGAGATAGAACAACTTGACAAAGCACTACTTCTTCTGTTTTCAAGTTTTTTGCAAAACAAAGTTAAGTTCCTCGAATAATACTCTCATGTCGCTCAATGTGTTATATATCCTCACCAAGGCGCCAAATGGTTTGCCTTCTTCTATAACACCCTAAAGTTTCAGTTTTCATAAATAGCTTCAAGTGATTTAATTTTGTTTAGGTTGCTTGAATTTTATATAGGAAAATAAGTGTTTTCAAAACTAAAGTAAAAAGAACTATAAATTAGGAACCATGTATGTTGCGTTGACGCTGGTTGCACCTTGTGTTTTATCAGCGCTAAAATGCTTAAATGCGTTTAGACATCATCTAATCCTTTTCGAGGATTTTCCGGATACAAATATGAAAATAGTTTATATAAATCTAAGTCAAAGCTCATGATTGTTTGACTAATCACGAGCGGAGACTTCCGTTCCCTCTGGGACCGAGGGAGTATGGAGTACCCTGTTTTAAACTGGTCCAGTCGAGGAGAGCAACTGGCTCCCCAAGATACCACATTTATTTCTGCTGTTTCTATCTGCGTCCTGAAGAATTTACTTTTGGCATTCACGAATGTTGCAACGATGGGACAGAGAAATTCTAGTAGCTCTCTTGAGGCTTGATTTGAAGAGATACAGATACCGAGTAGACAGAACAGTTTCAGTTTCCTGGAATGCTGCTGGGGATGCTAAAACCGAGCTATTCTTTTCTCGCGGACGCGAGTTGGGAAAAAAAACACCGAAACCGCAAGATGCTTGGATTTGGAGTTCTATCATCTGTTCTACTACTATTAGAGCACAAAAGGGAATGGCTGAATAAATATCTAGGTAACAGCAGCTTGTAATTTTTCAAAAAACAAGGCACGAGGAATGGCTAAATAAATATCTAGGTGCAATGCAGGTGCTTGAATTCAGGTATAGGTGCTGAATGCAAACTGTGAGGTACAGGTGTTGGATGCAAATTGCTGTCCAATGTTGCAACTTGCAGGTAGCAACAGATACCAAAACTGAAGATATATCATATATGGAAGCACGAACCTGTGTGCGAAAACATGTTACAAGTGCATTTTTCTGAACTGAAGCTACAAACTTAAGAGCAGAGCTGAACTTGGTGGATTGCAAGATGTGAGAATTGGGGATGGAGATGCGATCAGTTGGTCCTAGGTTCACGTGTTCTTCATCAATACAGATAAGAAACAGTGAATGATCCTGTTGTAATGTCTGTACAAACGGAATGCATCACCTTCAAACTAATAAACTAAAAAGAAAGAAATTCCTACTCCCTGCATGATTTCATAGCCAAGGTTGGAGATAGAATCCTACAAGAATCACTAGAACAACTTGGTGAACCCTTTCAGAATTCAGAAAACGATAGAACTGTTCTAAAATAAGAACAATCATATGGAATCCAACGCTTAGCATCAGATGAACACAATCTAGAAGGAGAAAAGTAGCAAAAGAAAAAAAATGATCCAGTGTATATTTACATCAAACTTAAGGGTCAGTCAAACCAAATGAGCTAGCAGCTAGCTAGTAGCAGGATTCATGACCTTGGAACGATCAGATCCTCCAGAGGTCGCCGCTACTGGCCCCATTCGGCTTACCCCATATCTGGCTTGTTTCGACTTTTTTCTTTTCCAGCCGAAATTACACCATTTCAGCCGGAACAGACTTTTTAGCCACCGAACGGCTCGGTCGGAGAACTGCGGTGTGGCGTCGGCGGCGAGCATGTCCCGGTACGTCTTCCTGATGGCCCATAGCGCCCTGCAGCAGTCGCTCATGGCGCGCCTGTCCTGTCGGACGGGGCCCATGCACCGGAACGCGAGCACCAGCACCATCTCCAGCGCGCGTTCCACGGCGGGCGGGCGTGCGAGGTACGGGTCCAGCACATCGGCGGAGGCGCCGCCGATGAACCTGCCATGGCCCAGCGCGAGGTGAGGCGCTCCTTCAACTCGCGCTTGGTCTCGATGGGGCGGCGCGCCGAGGCGAGCTCCACGATGAGCACGCCGAAGGAGTAGACGTCGCTGCGGTCCGTGAGCTGGCACGCCTTGAGGTACTCCGGGTCCAGGTACCCCGCCGTGCCTTTCACCTGGGTGGTGACGTGCGTGGCCTCCCCGGCGGCGCCGGCGCCCAGGCCGGCGCCAAGGCGGGCGAAGCCCAAGTCGGCCACCTTGGCGCGCAGCGAGTCAGTGAGGAGGATGTTGGAGAACTTGATGTCGCGGTGGATGATGGGGTGGTCGGAGTACATGTGCAGGTAGGTGACGGCGTGCGCGACGTCGATGGCGATGTCCAGCTGCGTCCCAAAGTCCAGGAACCTCCCGTTGCACCCTGCTTGTTTTCATGGTTTGGTTGGTTGCTGGCGAGGGAGAGATGAACTTGGAAGCAGAGCAGCAATGGCAGGTGGTAGCTTACTGTCGAGGCGCTCCCGGAGGGTGCCGTTGGGGACGTACTCGACGACGACGATGCGCTCCTCGCCGCACTCCATGTAGGCGTAAAAGCGGACCAGGCTCTGGTGCTCCATGCGCGCCATGATCTTGATCTCGCTCCGGAACTCCACGTCCACGTGAGGGCTCTGCATCCGCTGCGATCATTCATCCCGGAATTTAAATTTGTTGTTTTCGTCCGTCGATTGAGAGTTGAAGAAATCAGCAGGCAGCTTGGTGGATTCACTGACCTGCATGGTGCGCTTGACGGCGACGACGGTGCCGTCGGGGAGGACGCCCTTGTAGACGGCGCCGAAGCCGCCCTGCCCAATGTTATGAGGCCACCAGCAGAGCAACAGCAAGAAATCGTCGACGAGTGTATCTCCTCCCTTCCTGTGTTACTGTCGTCCTTGGCAGGCATACGCATACAGGCATACAGCGAAAGAAACTGGGCTGCATTGGAACGAAGCTGTGCTTCTCACTCAATCAAGAAAAGTATGCATCAGTACAAATATTGTTTATATATGTATGCAACAACCGAATTAGGATCTCCTCGATGGAGAGACGGAGCTCTGGAACGACGGCCGGTGCTCCCTGCCGCTGGCGTGGCCACCGCCGCTGTACAGCCCGCGCGCAGAGGTCTTCGTCCCGGCGTACCCCGGCACTGCCGCCATGAACCACGACCATCAACATCATCACGCATGGCGGAGGGCACGGACTGGGGGGTGAGCTGACTTACAAGGCGGCTTCTTGGCCCCGGCGTCACCCGCCAGCGCGGCGTCCCTGCTCCTCCGCTTCATGGACGCGGACGCGGACGACGACGACGACGCGGTGGAGACCGAGCTGAACCACACCCCGATGGAACGGGACAGGGACCTCAAGGACGAGGAGGAGGAGGAGCTGCTTCTGCGGCGACGGCCTCCGCCACTTTCGGACAGCGGGCCCGACCACGCCGGGCTCCGCGGCCACCGCTCGTGCTCCGGCTCCCGCCTCCCCGACCCCGACCCCGACGACGACGGGGCCAGGCTCCCGCGTCGGTCTCCCCCGGCCATGCTCCGCAGCGCAGTGGTTGGTCGGCAGACGCGGTCGCGTGTCGCGCCGAGCTCTGCGGCCCGCGCAGGCGGCTGAGAAATGGAGATGGGGATGGGGATGGGATGAGAACCGGAATTGAGGACGGGATGGGGTCATGGTGCACAAAAATCGACAAGTGATGCATGCATGCAAAGCGAGGACGGCTCCAGCAGTATGCATATACGCGTTAGGCACCGGCCATGCATGTCACCTGCTAATGCCTCACCTGGCTGGTTGAGACGCGTTTTATGTGAGGCGTGAAATTTCGATCTAAGGCACTAAATTAAAAGAACTGACGTGGACATCCTAGAAGGCCGCCGATTCGGCGTGCCTTCATATCTTTAATATATAGCAATGGGGGAGGAGACCACGCAGGCAAATGGCTCAACGACGTCGTCGCTGAGACGGAAAGCAGCCGAGGTGATGGCCACCTCGCTGGAGACGTACCGGAGCAAGCCGTTCTCCTTCTGGCTACTCCTGTTCCTGAGCAGCGGCGCCATGCTCACCGCGTTCCCGGCGTCGAGCCTGCTCTCGCGGCTCTACTACAACGACGGCGGGCAGAGCAAGTGGATCGGTCGTGGGCGGCCATCGCCGGCTGGCCGCTGCCCGCGCTGCTCCTGCTACCGCTCTGCCTCCTCGGCAAGGCGTCGCCGACGCCGCTGTCGCTGGCGCTGTGTTTCTGGTACGCGCTCCTCGGCTTCCTCAGCGCCGCCGACAACCTCATGTACGCGTGGGCGTACGCGTACCTCCCGGCGTCCACGGCCTTGCTCGTCGCCGCGTCGTCGCTCGCGTTCTCGGCGCTCTTCGGCCGCGCCATCGCGAAGAACACTCTCAACATGTCCTCGCTCAACGCCGTCGTCGTCATCACGGCGGGCGTGGTGATCGTCGCGCTGGACTCCGGGTCGGACAGGCCCGCCGGCGTCACGCCCCGCCAGTACGCGCTCGGCTTCGTCCTGGACGTGCTCGGGTCGGCGCTCCACGGCCTCATCTTCGCGCTCTCGGAGCTCGTGTTCGCCAGGGTCCTCGGCAGGCGCTCCTTCCACGTGGTGCTGGAGCAGCAGGCGGCCGTGTCGCTCTGCGCGTTCGCCTTCACCTCCGCGGGTCTCGCCGTCGCCGAGGGATTCCCGGCGATGCGGCGCGAGGCGGCCCGGTTTGCGCACGGTGGTGAGGCCGCGTACGCGAACGTGATGGTGTGGACGGCGGTCACCTTCCAGCTGGGCGTCCTCGGCGGCACCGGCGTGCTGTTCCTGGCATCCACCGTCCTCGCCGGCGTGCTGAACGATGTCAGGGTGCCCCTCACGAGCATCGCCGCGGTGATCTGGTTCCATGACCCAATGAGCGGGTTCAAGATCTTGGCTCTGGTCATCACGGTGTGGGGGTTCGCGTCCTACATGGTTGGGCACTCTGGTATCAGGAAGCCGTCGAGAAGTTGATAAGATATCATACATGTCCAATCCAGAACTATGTTTCAGGCTCGCTGCAGAACTTTCTTTCTTTATTTTTTTGAGACCAGCAATGCAATGGCGACCACCAGTTCAGTGCCTTGTCGGTACCAACCGACTGCCATGCGTCTATAGAGGGCCAAATGGGCTGCCCTGCGTGGCTCGGCCTCGGCATGGCCCCAAAAAGCACGACCAGATTTGATCGGATCAGGCACGTGCCGCCATAGGCTTGATGCTCGGCTGAGGCATCACGGTGGTCTGTTTCTCATGCCGGGCCAGCCCGTAGCTCGATAGTGAAGCCGCACCTCCATGAACAGGGTCAGCGCCGGTCCTATTTGAAGGGCCCTCGGGCAATCTCGTCACAACGGCCTTTTTGATCATGTATAAAATCTTATAATATATAGACGCTAATTTTACTTGTAAAATGAAAGTAAATTCAATAACATATTTTTAATTTAACATGTCTGATAATCATCGAGGAACAATGTAGATTAAGCAATATATTTGTAAATGTATGATAATTATCGAGGAACAATGTAGATTAAAAAAATAATATATTCGTTTTCTTTTCTCACCCATGACAAATGTTTCTTAGGTAACATTTTAAAATTTTAACACCTAAATTAGAAGAAAAATATGACTATATAGGTACAAAGTACTAGAAGTCTGGAATACTATATAAATAATTAATTTAGATTAAAAATAGAAAGGAAAAAAAATACCTTAGCCCTAAACAACCGATTGGTGATCGCAATTCATAAGAAGCCAAGAATCAAGATGTCGTCGTCGTGGAGCCCTGCCTGGTCGCCGTCCTCGTGCGTCGTGTCTGTGTCTCCGATAGTCTAGCTCTTCACGGCGGCGCGGCTCGCCAGCTCCGCGCGTGTAAGGCGCACATCGCGAACTCATGATCAGAGTGTGCTGTGTGCAGCGTGTCTCCTCGTCTCCTCTCTACCCGAGGGCCGTGGGGAAAGGAAACTAGAAAAGAAATGCCAATGTTGTCTTTTTAGGCCACCTGGCCAGTTTTATATCTCTCTTCTCATTAGTTTGCTAATGCCTAATGGACTATAGAATCTAGGATTTGTATACCTAGGTTTGGGCCCCTCCTCCGCTTGGGCCCTCGGCCGTCGCACCTCCTGGCCCACCCTTAGGGCCGGCACTGAACAGGGTACACACATTCAAGCGTTCAGCAGCTGTTAAAGAATAATAAAAAAACTCAATCCGCGGGGCTGATAGTTCCGGCCATTTTTGCTTAATAAGAAGAAATATTGTCACGTAGACAGGGAATACCTCTGAACCTATGTGTCGGGGACATAATACCGGAGTACCAAAGGAGGTGGAACTAATAACCATGGAACGTTAAAAACTTCCAAACGGACAAGAACACTACTGCGCCTCTTGCCCGAACGACGGGGGTTTGGTTCCGCCTCACCCGACGCCTGTGGGCCAGCTCTGCCTCACCCGACGGCTGGAGGACGGCTCCGCCCCGCTTGAGGGCTGAGGGATCGGCTCCGCCTCGCCCGAGGGCTAAGGGCTAGACTCCGCCTCGCCCGACCCCCGAGGTATAAACTCCGCCTCGCCCGACTCCCGTGGACCGGCTCCGCCTCGCCCGAGGGCTGAGGGCTAGACTCCGCCTCGCCCGACGCTCGTGGGCCGGCTCCGCCTCGCCCGAGGGCTGAGGGCTAGACTCCGCCTCGCCCGACGCCCGTGGGCCGGCTCCGCCTCGCCCGAGGGCTGAGGGCTAAACTCTGCCTCGCCCGACCCTCGAGGGCGGACCTCGCCTCGCCCGATGTCCAAAGGCTGGCTCCGCCTCGCCTGACAACCACACCCCGCTCCCTCATGATGATAGGCACAGGGTAAGACAAGACGTTCGGGTCAACCGCAGCATCAAGGACCATGCCCTGCGCCCCTGCATGAAAGTACCGTCAGGGCATGACGGGATGGGCGCTTAGACCCTTCTAGGCGTGGCAGAGCCTGAATAGTGTTGCAGGCGCGTGCTCTTCGCCCTACAGTGTTGTAGGCGCTGCCTTCAGCCCCCGGGCGAAGAGTCCGACACAGACATACGACAACCACTACGTTCTAAGGGGGGACTCCCGTCCTCTACAGTGGCAAATGAGCAGTCACCGCGCCTTCCGCTCCCCACAGGGTCGCAGATCGACACCCCTGCCTGACACGCCGCCCGCGGAGGCGGGATGGGACGCACCCACTTGCTAAAAGAGGTCAGGGCAAGGCCTACGAAGATCAACGAACACGCCACTTCTGACACTGTCTGCCATGTTATACAGGACAGGAGCAGGGAAAAAGGAAGACCCGGATCTTTCGAAGGACCTTCTACACCCTTGGTATTTTCCTCTTTCTCCCATCTGTAACCCCTGCTCCCCCTTGGTCTATAAAAGGGAGGGCAGGGCTCCCCACTAGGGGGACGGACTTTTGACGAACAACTCACATACAGACGAGCTCACAGAGAGTTCAGTTCCACATCACGCACACAGCCAAGCCGCCACCAGGCTCTTCGCACCCTTTCGACCCTTCTATCAGAGATCTGGGACCAGTCCCTCTCTCGACCGTTTGTACCCCTTACTATGAACCGTTTTTAGTGCTAATAACACGAGCAGCAATAGAGTGGACGTAGGGACATTCAGCCCGAACCAGTATAAACCTTGTGTCCTTTAGCACACCATCCGGGCCTAACGCGCATAATTATAAATTTACTAGCCGGTGCTTGTTCGAAACACCGACACTATGTCACACCCATACATAGCGGCGTGGGCGGACCCAGCACTAGGGCAGCCCAGGCCATGGCCCTAGTCGTGGCCCATGTAACAAGAGAGCAGGTCTTCAGTTTTTGGCCCATCAAGCAGCCCAACACAAGCAGGCCAGGCAACAAAGTAGGGTAACAGAGCACTAGAGCCGCTCGAGGCTTGCCTTCTCGCTCCGTAGCTTGCTCGCTTCGCGAGACTCGTGACTGCCACCGCCGCCCATCGCCCACGCTGCACCGCCCGCCGACATCGCCTGTCACCCCCTCCAGCCCTCCGCTCCGCGCTCTAGTTCCATGTCCTCGCCCCCTCCGCTCTGCGGCGGCGCCGGCGCGGCTCCTTCCTCAGCCCGGCACGGCGGCGCCGGCCACCCGCCCGCTGCCCGTTGCGACGCTACTAGCTGCCCGGCTCCTTCCTTGCATGCGAGCAGAGCAACTGAGCAAGCTTCCCTTGTTAGATTTAGACCTGAAACTAATTTTGATTCCAAATTTCCAGTTTCCAATTTCGCTGCGCCATCGCTCGCCGGCCGGAGCCCCGCGCTGGCAGAGCAGGAACTCTAGAATAGGAAGAGTGAAGGGATTTCTTCTCTTTATTTCAATTCTCTGCTGATTTTGATTCTAACTTCTAGGTTTACAATTTCAATTTTGTCATTTCTATGTAGAGTTTGAACTTTTGATTCCAATTAGAATATAATTTTATAGATTTTTTAATTTGTTTAGAAGATGAAGAGGACTAGAACTTTAGCATCATGCTGCTCTAGACCAATATAACATACACACATATATA